AAGGCATGATTTACTTGGTAAATGACTGACACGTTATATACCCAAATTTTATATACCCGAATTTCTAGCTGAGATGGATCATGTGGAAATTGCATGTACTCGGGAGAAATATCTGATTTAAATCTCGATATCTTTTTTTTTTCCTCAACTGCGCTGAAAGTCACAAATTCAAATTTGTGAACTCAGTGAACTCACCCTAGACCACATCTGCTAAAGGAAAAACAGTTATTACAGCAATCTAAACCCATTCAGTAAATGTTCATTCCCAAGGCTGATACTTCTTACAAATTTATAAATTATAGGACCACTACGAAGTCACAGATCGCTACAACACGTATCTGTCCGTTGTAATTTATTATTGATCTTCATGGTGTATTTTCTGAGAAATATGTCTAACACTTCCACTGGCCCAATATTTCTGTCCAGCAAAACATTGGGCAAAAGGTATTGCAAAAGAATAAATTTATTGAAAGAAAAAGGTAATGTTTGCCACTGAATATACCATTTAAATAAATGACCAAATAAACAAACAATCAAGTATGAAAAAGGAAAAGAATGCCACTCACTATTAATAAAATTTGACACTCAATAAAGTGAAAAAATAGAGGGTAAAACAAAGAAACTTTCTCAAAGGCAAAAGTGAAAGAATGCCACTCAAGGTTTTTTAAGTTTCACGGTTGTCATGACGATTACAATAAGAATCGTCATGACAACCGTGAAACTTAAAAAACCTTGAGTGGCATTCTTTCACTTTTGCCTTTGAGAAAGTTTCTTTGTTTTACCCTCTATTTTTTCACTTTATTGAGTCATGGCAACTTATTGTAATTGTCATGACAACCGTGAAACTTAAAAAACCTTGAGTGGCATTCTTTCACTTTTTCCTTTGAGAAAGTTTCTTTGTTTTACCATCTATTTTTTCACTTTATTGAGTGGCAAATTTTATGAATAGTGAGTGGCATTCTTTTCCTTTTTCATACTTGATTGTTTGTCTATCTGGTAATTTATTTAAATAGTATACTCAGTGGCAAACATTACCTTTTTCTTTCAATAAATCTATTCTTTTGCAAAAATTTTGCCTGATGTTTTGCTGGCCAGAAATATTGGGCCACTGGAAGTGTAAGTTTCTAATTTTTACAAGCCTGGAGATGGAGTTTCAGGTAATTCATCCAAGAACTTGAAGAAGTACAACAGACCAATGATGATGATGAAGAGGAGGAGTGTATCAGCCGAGCTGGTCCCAGGAAATTACCTGAATACTGAACCACGATAAAAACGGGGTTTTTTTCCGAGAAATCGCTCACAAAGGTGAAGACCAGATTTCAATCAGATTTCTAGGGATAAAATTATTCTAAAATACATATCATCTCGATAAAATCTTGTTTGTACATACTCTGTCCATTTTTTATCAATAGATCGAGATTGTCGTCAACAAGAATTCCCTCCGCGATACTTGGGAGATATCACTGTATCCATGTGAGGGTTGTGTAACTCTTCCGCAGACATTGTGGACAAGAAATATAAACCACTCACACTGGGTTCAATACGATCACCTTGTTGCCTCCCCTGACCACTGTTCTTTAATGCCGCTTCGCGTACGACAGATTATTCTACAACCAGGAGAATGTAAGCACCATCTTCTTATTGTGTTAATCGTCCTCCTTCCTAAAAACCGATTAGCTGTCCTCATTACCAGAGCCTATCATGACACATCTCACGCAGTCGTTGATGTTGACTCTGAGGTGGATTGTGAGGCTAGCTGCTGTCTACCTGATCCTGGTACTCCCCTACTCTCTCTCCCTCCCTTTTCAACCCCAACCCAAGATCAAGACAGTCTCAGGCTGAATTCCGAGTAAGGTTGATTTTTTGTTTATGCTTACACTGCCTGGCTAATGTCACGTTGAGAAATTTGTCCATCAACACTTCTCCGACCCATCTTCTCATCAATTCTTCTCCTGACAAAAGTATTCCCACTCGATCGGTACCAGAGGAAAACAACGCTCTCCCTGAACATGCTCGAGTATTCCGGGCATACAAGTCTATTCCCCATCCCGATGAATTGCAACAAACTTGGCCACTTGAATCTTACAGTAAAGCTTATTTTATCTTTCAAGGAACTAGGATTGGTGTATTCCCAACTTGGTACGTACAATGTTGTGATTCTACCCTACATTACCAGACCCACCTCAGACGAGTCCTAGAGATATTACGCAAAACTTTGTTCACTCAGTCTCGGGTTCAGACTTCAGAGTGTACAAGAAATTTTCAGTCGGATTGGATGAATACAAAGAGAGATTCTTTGGTTCCTCACTTGCGAACCCTCCAGAGGTTCTTCAGGATATTCCAAACCGTTTATTTGATGTTTCGGACCCTCTCTTGGATACTGATTTAGACATCTTTATCAGGGCTGATGACAAGCCTTTGGTGACTCCAGCAGGGACTGATTCTGCTGAATTACCTCTACGAGTCAACAAGTAAGCTCCATAATTCTGATTAAGACATTTATTGACAATTTAAGATAGTAACTACACCCATGCTGCTGGTGTCATCGCTGCCTCTGTACCAGGGTCGTCAAAAGCTCAGTATGGAAGCGGTGTGATTTATATCTCGGATGAAGAGGATGAAGAAGAACAGAACTGAATTACAGTAAAAATTACCGAAATGAACAGACATGCGTTTTGTACTTCAGCAGACAGGAAATTATTACTGAGTCATTTAGAGGGAGAGCATTATGCCACCTTTTCATCGAAACAAGGTCCAATCTGTTGTAAGGTCCCAGATTTGTCGTGGTTCCGTACATCTAAGTGATAGAACACATGTAAATTCTTCTGACAGGCAATTTCAAATCTCAAAAGTACTACTCAGAACCGTCAGTCAAATATCATTCGGGAGTCCTAGAGGGAAATTCTCAAACCAGATGTACATACACACATATGTAGTGAATTGATGCCACGCTCAGGGAAACTTGATTTGTATATCACTTCGTCCAGGACCAAGGAACATAGGTTTGGGGGACAAAGTGATCTTTATACAAGCTTAAAATGGGTCCAAACATGGCTGGATAGCATGGTTTTTACATTATGGAGAATCAAAATAAAATATATGGTGATTGAAAAGAACGTTATACGCTTTGTGGGATGACATGCATCGTTTGTGATTTTTCGCTCCCAACCTCAGCGGACTTTTATGCCACCAGTGTGTCCCTTTTAGGGCAATTCCACACTGACCTGGGAGCGGATTAGCCAAAGAAATCTTGAAACGATGCATTCCGGTACGGAAAGAAAAACCCTGTAGAAAATCAGTGTTTCAGACCTGATCCCACGTAAATGAGATCATGAGTTCTGAGATCCGCTGTTCCAGTCAACATAATTTTGGGGATGACCAAGGATATCAACGGTTTATTGCAGTTAATCTCCCGAAACATCCACCAAAAGGTGGGACCACCTGTTGATAATTCTTTCTATACATTAGAGCCCTTGCGCAGAGCCAACCGTTGCGCAGATTTGGCTGCATTTTTTATTTCAGTTGGCAGCCGTTTTAAAAATTAATAAGCTTTATGGTACATTTTAGCACCATCGAATCTCATACCTTTTTTATCAGTCGCAACGAGAAAACACTTAAGTACAATAAACATTAGGCTGAAAGCGTGACCAAAGGGTGGTATCATCTGTGATTCCTTCCCACGTTCTTTTTACATCATCTCCAGCGATAATATCACTGATTAACATTTTATCAGTCACAACGGGAAAACACTAACGATAAGCCATTAGGCAGAAAGCCAGGTGTGTGGCCAAAGAGTGGTATCATCTGTGATTCCTTCCCACGGTTCTCGACTCTGAACTCTACGTTACGTAGAGAAACTATGAGGTACTTAGGATCCGTTGCCTGGGGTTGAAAAATCATCCTGACAGTTTGAGATCTATCCCATATTTCATTTGATCTTGACTCTAACTGATTATTTCAGGTGATATTTTCCCGGGATTCGGAAATAAAAGAAGAAAAATACGGGTATCGCGCAGCATGGCGTGTTCATCTGGAACACCACCAGACCTGATGAAAGCCAGAGATGATTGAGATCTTTTCATATCGAATTATTCCCCATTCCAGGAATCATGCACATGTTAAAAATCTTAGTGAGATCGTTCGTTGCAAGGAGAGACCCGCTTTTACAGTATGGTGAAAATGAATGTTCCGGAAATAGAGACACATTTGTGAGAAATCAGAGGTTGTTCTGACCCTTCATCGAATGCCTGATCTGGACGTGTTACGAGCTGAGGGTAAGATATTGCGTTCCGCACCAAAATGTTATCATTTGAGATTTTCCAGCTAATTTCCATCAAGTGTGTAATTCCAGCACGGAATCACCCTAGGAAGGGTACACTGCCAAAAAATCACAAATGATGCGTTCCCATACAGAATGATGTCTGTTTAAATACATAATTTCTATTCCATGTTGGGTGATGCGTTTAGAAGGGGGAAAATTGAGCAACACAGCTGCGCTGCATGCTTTGGAGGCAATAAAACATTTTAAGACTTCGATGTTATCCCTTCTACAATTATCATGATGTTGTTACAACTAGCTATCCAGGTAGAGTTGGGTGACTAACTTTGAACATCTTACCGATGTCTGATGTGCCGATGGAATGGAACTAAGCTGCCGTTATAACTACCCAAATTCTTCCTGACAGCGCTGTCCCATTGTACCTCCGTTATTTTCACTAGAAAACACTTTTGGTAGTTAGGACTGTCGGAATGAGTTGCGATTCTGTCACTATTCACACTTCAGAACGTAGTCCAGGAACCTCTCTGAGTCAAGATCATGGTGTTCAACATTATGATCGTTATGAATGACTTGTCGTTGGAGCATAATGTTGAACATGCATTATGATAATGCATGGTTAGGACAAAAAATAAACCGACCAGCCAGGGTGTCTATGCCAGGTGGGATAACTCAAGGGAGTTATCTCCTGCTCTGACGTAGACACCCTGGTGGCCAGGTTGAATTACCTGTATGGGAGTCGAACCCATACTAGTAGAACTCCTCGAAATCCATGCTTCGGGAGTATCTACCGTGCATACCGATACACCAACAGGTCTTACATATCTAAAGGAACAGGGCTGGTTCTAGACCAGAATAGTAAGGTCAATATTACCTACAGAGAGGCAACGAATCAGAAATCTGATAAAAAAATGATTGTTCTCATAACGTATACGGTCCAGGACGTGCCACTGGTGTGAGATACCCTAGATTATTTTGGGAGTGTTCCCGTGAGCGAGTATTTGATTTGCACATTCATTCCCTCCTCCTCTCTTGTTTACACGTATATCAAATGAAAAGGTTTATCTCATACCACGATTTCTAAATATGAGATCTATATGGTCGCTATAAAGAATTTTTGAGATGTAGGATTGATCTAACTCCCTCAAATCAGCGTTTGATGAAAGGTCAGAAAGAAAACTCCGATCTCAAACAAGTATTACTTCTTGCCACGGAACATCGCAAGATTCTCTTCCGAAATCAAGCGTCCTCATGGCTTCTGATGTTCCAGGGAGATCCAGCATAGTTTCAGGGTCTCTTTCTGTGGTTCTCCCCCCTGACAATGAATTAGCCTGCCAAGATGATGTGCAACACGCTAGGTGCGCTGGAAATATCCATTGGTTTCTGACGGATGATAGATTTTAAAGTCAGCATTTTCAGGGTGGCTGTTGATTAAGGGTCATAAGACGAAAAAGAAAAATCTGAATCACCTTTACTTTCATCACATCTGGCAACGTCCCAGACGAATACACTACATCGTGGAATATTTTCTGAATTGAATGTCTGACCTTGATGTTATAACACAATATAACAAATTGTGTCGGCACCTGAGGACACCAAAAGAAGTTCCTTTAAATGAACCTCGTTCCTCGCATTTCCTTGTGAGCGTTTGTGGTAATTGGTCAACAGACTAAACTTGTGTGAGATACCGTGGCTTCTTTTCAAAGAGTGTCCCCGTGGGTTATTGCATATGACTATATCTTTGCAACGGCAGGGTCCTGAAGGGAGACCCTTGGTGTGTATCCGTGCTAATATGAAAATTCCTGATAAATAACCATTTTCTACCCCATAATCCTCGTATGTTATGAAAAGTATTTTTTCAAGAATCCCTACATATCGAGATTGACCGTCAACATAACACAACAGTACTTACTTGTACTTATTGTCTCTCCTTCTGATAGAAAAATTTCACATCCATGCTCACAAACACATGTCTTTCAAGACACAAACCCGAATTTCTGGCCTCGCCTACAATGTTCACAATCACGGTCTCTATCAAAAAGTTCCTCACCGCAATAAAGTGCAGCGAAACAGAAGTGGAGCCGATGGCCAGTCGCTACTGGCTGTTCGTCGAAGAACATCCTAATGATGGCGGTGAGCTAGAAGAGCTGATGAAGATGTTGTTAAAAAGAGAACCTGGGTTAGATGCGTGAATGGAGTCAGTGGAGGGAAAACGCTTTATAGCTTTTCGATTCGAGCAGTTTACCCAGGTAACTCTGACTCTTTTATCTCTTTCGTTGTCCTGACACACAATAGGTTAAGAAAAAGAGGGATATGGAGATGAAATCCGAAGACGATGGAGATTTTGTGTCCATTTTTCCTTTCTTTAATGATCCTGCGATGCCCGAGTGGAGGGCTGTCACACCTAAATCGATTGTGACGTTGGAGGGGCGGGTTGATTTCATAATGACCGACATCGGTGTAGAACCCCTTCTTGTGACAGATGTCATTAACGTACTCGAAATAGGGGAGAATTGGAAGGATTTGGACAAGGATCTTATTTTGGACATGTGAATTTTAACTCATGTTATTCGAGGTCGAGAATTCAACGTTCCCAATGGGCTCTAATCGCTGTGTTTCAAGCATGATGGGGTATACAATTCACTTCTGAAGTCGGTAGATTAATACAGTTCAATGCTGTCAGAATGGCATGATAAACTCAGAATTCAGAAAGATAGAATCGCTCTCCATCATCCCAACTAGTCGGTCTTGCACCAATGCGATTTTCTTTTCCCAGAAATCAACAAATCACAGAACAGAGGGTCGGGATCGGTCTTGAAAGAATTTTTCTCACAGTTTGAACTCAATTGAAGTTTCTTTTCTTACTAAGAAAACTGAAAAGCTATAAAAATCACCCTGGTATAGACTGTCGAAATGAGATATTTTAATAGCCCTTACTCCTTCTGAATACTTCGGGTCAAGCTCTATATCGGAACTTTTTTCCCTGATAAATAGATAGACCGAGGGGCTACAGGGTGTTGTGGTAAAAAAGTTGCTGAACATATATAATTACTTACGAGAAGAATGCACATGTGCACGAAAACGAAAAATAATACTGGGTGGGCTGTTCCGTCTCAGTTCAGAAAGCAGTCCAGAGGCTATTTATTTTAATCGCGTGTGACTTGACGTTTTGGTACAGTAAGTGTATTATTTCTCTCCAATTGCCACCGATATAAAAAAATTAACCGAGCTACATCAGGTGCTGCTCGAGCGTAGACAGCCTGCGTGTGAGTAGGACCGCGGACACATACCGATGGAACATATTTACCTGCCTACCAACCTGTCGAAGCAAACAGGGTTGATTTCAGACTGGAATGGTAAAGCCAATAGTACATACAGATCGGTCAGGAATCAGTATCATTCCAAAATGACAACTGGGGTATTGTAAGGTAGATCGTCCAGGACAAACTACGCATGTGAGTTCTCGCATTGCTTGATTCCCGGACTTTGATTCGTATTGTCACAGGATCCCTATAACCGAGAATGATTTCCGTCGATACGTCTAAGCAGATGCAACTTGGGAAGATGTATCCAAGTTTTCTAGGACAGATACTCTTCGCATAGTGCGCTTCAAAATGCATCATGATATAACTTTTGACCGAATTTCTGCGCCACATTTCAGGACTACATGAAAGGTTTTGAAAATCAACGACAAAGGTCAATATGAGGTAGAACTAGGAGAATTTCTCGCTAATAGGTACAGAGGTCAATAGACACGATAGTCAAGTACAAAAGGTTCTTGACCACTCCTTCGAGCACCTCCCACTGCTTCTGTACCTCCCACCTTTTTTTGTTCTCCTGTCAAAGTAGCTTGAGAAGGTCATCACACACCTCCGGATCGTCTTTTCCTTTCCGAGTGATTGCAAGTGACTTGAGGGACTTTTCTAGGGCAACGAGTTCTCGATGCTTGCGTCAAGCAATATCAAAATAGATTACTCTCCGGTGCTCAACTTGGTCACCCAAAAATGTGGGAAGGGGTTCTTGATCATTCATACATCGATGAACTGCTAGAATGTATGAACATGCATCGTATTATGAGTGAAAGCTATAGACGAACCTTGTTCTTTGCACCAAGTCGCAACATCGACTCCCTGGGGAAAAGGGTCAGGAAAAAGAGGACCAGAAAACCAGAGCAAGGTCCCATCACGGATGTCGTCCCGACATGCTAATGCATTTGCAACAACATCGGCATAGCCTTCTAGGAGTCCATTTGAGGAAGAACGAAGAATCCATGGTTCTTTTCGTCGTAGTGCATGGCCTACAAAATTGCTCAACCACTCTATCCCTTTACGGCGACCACGGGGAATATCAGGAAGAGTAAAATCTTCAGATGCTTGAATGCCCCTGTCAAGACAGATTCCAGTCAACATAGAAACCTAGTGATATCAAGACTCACCATGGAATTGAAGGAGAACCAGTTTCTGCGAATTTCCAGAAATGTTCACTTTCTGTTTCCTGAATCGGCGATGAAGCGGATTCAACCACGTCCCATATAGGGTCGAACACCGGAATGGGAAACAGGACGTCTTCCAAGTCTGGGCTGTTAACAACGTCCATATCAGACTGTGTTGGAGCATCCTGGTCTGACTGGTCTGACGTTCCTGAAAGGCTGTTAAAAACCACACTATTTTGTGTTTGATGGGACATATTCGATCAAGAACAAAACGTAGTTGTATTTATGCTTTTCAATATTGCATACATGAGCCCCGACGTAGAAAGAAAAATCATGCACTTCCCAGAAAATCTTGTCCAAAAAGCAGCTTCAACCAATGCGGAAAGACCCTGTTCCTAGACCTATAGCTGACACAAGGAGATCGTTGGACTTTATTTTTCTGTGCAGGTTCAGATTTATCTTCCCGCGTGAACCGATATCTACTTCTTTCATCAATGATGGAAACATTTTCCAAAAGGGAATACTGCCCTTTCCTTAAAATTCCGCTTGAATGAATTGGATGTCCCTGAGGAAAAATGGCCAGCAACTATGGACAATTGTAGGCGTGGATTTTTGATGAAACTGGAAATATCAGACTGCTTTTTCGACGGAAGTAGTCATCCATAATCGGATGATGTTGGAGAAAACAAAGGTCCACGTTGAGAAAAAATGTAGCAGATCTAGAGAAAATGGAAATGTGTATAGCGCCGTTTAAATTTTGATGGTCAAACCATGGGCTCTGCATTGTTCACATGATATCTTCAAAGCCGTTGTGTTAATGATTCCAGTGGAAAGCTTCAGCCTTCAATCCTATAGCCTTTCTTACAAAATGGCGGAGGAGACCATTGGTCGTGATGAAAAGAGTAAGATAGCAGCAAAAAACGCTCGGATCTTCTTGGATCAAGCCAGGACTGAGCAAAGATGCTACTGAAGGAAGAGGGATGGATTTATTTATGCAAAAAATAAAAAAACAGCAGAATCTATGAACAACGATGTAACCAAGCCCAACATCCACCAAAAAATTTTTTCATCTAACGGTGATAATAAGGACGTATAAGAAACCACGACAGATTTTCATAGGTGATCACCTACCTTGAACATTCAGAAGCGTTTCCAACCCGGGACCTGTCCTTTTTTCCTAAGTGACTTTACGAATTTTGTACAGTTTGTACTTGAAGAATCCAGGGAGGGGTTTCTTAGCGGTCCGAAGAGGAACACGCAGTTGAGATCCTGAGGGGGGTACATGATGGGAGATATCCAAGTCATCGCTGAACTTGGATCCATAGTGACGATGCCTCTCTTCGCTCGGTGCATCCGTTTGAGATTCTTCAGGATACAAGAGCTCG